GGCGGGGAGAAAATGGGATGGAAAAGAAAGAAAACTCGTGGGTCAAGACAAAGGCAGTTTAATAAAAAGCAAAAGCAAAGGCGGTGTACGGTAGCAAAAGGAAAACAAAGATTTTATTCTCTACTTCCCATTAGCTGGCGATGTCCAGCCACTTCCCAGGAAGCAGGGCTTCAGCATGCATAGCCGTTGCTCCACAGGACAAAATGTCATAAAAAACTAATGTGCCCCCTTCCTTTTCCTTTTCCCTTAGCTTTTATATCTGAGCCGATGTCCTATGGCATGGAATAGCCCTGTAGTCGGTTTGGGTCAGGTGTCTTGGCTCCATCCCCTCCCAAGATCTTGCCCCCTCCCAGCCCACGGGTGGTGGTGGGTGGGGAATGTTGGAGACCCAGCCGTGATGCTGTGAGCACTGCCCAGCAGTGGCCAGAACCCCGGTGGGTATCAGCACCTTGCCACACACCGATAGGCAGCACAGCACTGTGCAGCTCGACCCAATACACTTACCATCTAGGAAAAGTCTAGACTCTAACTTATAGTACAATTTGAGGAAATTCTGGTTTGGGTTTTATTTTTAATGATTTAGAGAGCTGTATTTGTGTGTAGTTTGGTTTTGTTTTGCTCATTTTAAACAGTATCTGAATTGGGACTGATTTAACTTCTGTTTTTTTTTTTCTCGGTGGTTTTCTGTTTGTTTTTTGACATTACTTGTTATTTGTTACACCTTCTGGTAAGGTGTGCTAAAAGCATCCACTCTCACTCTAGCGCACGTCCCAATTATTCTAGCAGACTGTTTTAAGCAATTTAAACAAAAAGATAAAATATTTACCCTGTGTAGGATAATTAGTTCTCCTCTTGCCCTGTTCCCTCTAACGAAGCTGGGTGACGCAAACTCTCCCCCCTGTCGTCGGAGGTGTGAGTGCCCCAGTAGGGTGCTCCCAGGCGAGGGATGCAGCATTCCCGTCCGGAAAGACCCCAAGGGGGGCTTTGTAGGCTGCAATACAACCCAAGGGGGACGCGATGGGCAGAGTTCCCCGGTTAAAATGATGTCAGGGAGTATGGTTTGGGCTAGCATAATACGCACTTTTGTAAGCCTAGTTGTCCTGTTTAACTGGGCAGGCGTGGCTCCAAAACCATTTCCTAATCCTGCCTTGTAAGGGAGGTATCAAGGATTGTTAATACTTCTGGTGTTTGGGGTTTTGTCTTTATTTTTTTGTTTTGGGTTTGTTGGGGTTTTTTTTTATTTTTATTTTATTTTTTGCATTTTGTGCTTTTTCACACTTCACAAACCTGCAGACAAAAGCTGTGTTTATGCCTTGGGAAAGTGAGCAATTAATCCGTTTAGCTGTGTGATCTGAGTGAGCGCAGTGCCTCGTTTGGGAACCAGTAAATCCGCAGTCTTTGTGAGTTGATCCTGTGACCCGCTTTGCTGAACGGGACAGATTCCCTTTTACACTGATTTGCAGAATCTGGTGTCTTTTAAAACAGGGGTTTCAGTGTATCTGATGCGAAACCCAGGCTGCGTACAAAGGCGCTGTGTTTGTATCACCTTTAGGATTTAAAGGTGTGAATGAAATCCCTTTGTCTTGCGCTTTTAAAGCCATTAGATGAGGGAATCCCTTTGTAATACGCTTGTTCCTTTCTAAAACAAATTTTACATTTGTAAATTCAAACATTTGGGAGAATAGGTTTGAAAGTAGAAGTCTGCCTTTGTTATTTGGGAAGTAAGATAAAAAAACTGATAAGGAGGATGATTTGGTGCAACTGTTAACGTGATAACTCAGGAAAACTTTTTGAAATTCATCCCTTCTTAGCATTAATCTTTAATATTTCAGTATTTGAAATTTTTCATTTTCAATAGAGAACACTAATTAAAACAGTCCGTTTCCTTCACTTCTAGATAGCCTTGTGTCTGATTGGGGGAATAAAAAAAGAAAGTCAAGCTATAACAAAATTAAGTTAAAAGTAGATGGAAAAAACCACCCCTGCACAATACACATTGGGCAACAATCCAGAATAGAAGGGCAGGGGGATCATTTATTTTAAAACATAGTATTTTTGGATTGCTGTACAAAATTAGCATAATTAAAGCAATGTTTTGCCATGCATTAGGTTTCAGTTTTCTAATTTGTTCATTTAATGTATTACAGTTATGTCCTGATGCAGCTACTACGTGTCAGAAGACAACTTTCTAATGCAAAAAATTACTAACAGTAGTGTATTCGGTCAGGACTGTAGTAAACAGGTTGCAAAGTCGTGATGTACCGAGTACATTGGTGTAGGTCACTTTTTACCTGCCACTGAAAGCTTATAATACAGCAAATTAGATAGCGGCGGCACTCGTTTTTCAACTGCACTTTATTAATTTAAAAACTGTGGTGAAATATTGATGAAATTTAATGTCGCAAGCCTGTGTCTCTGCTTTTTTTTAATGCGAAAAAGTAAATGCATGATAAGTGGCATCACAATAAATGCTACCTTTAGAATGTAATATTACCTTACGAGTGGCTTAAACCTCCTATTTTTAACAGATGCATTGCCTAGTGTAAAAGCAGGCTCTTGGTACTTCACCAGGTGTCTTTACCATGGACATATCGAATGGAAGGAGTCAACCTTGTAAAAAAATGCTCGGATATCGTGTTTTTCTGTTCTTTAACATTCTTCAGTACCAGGTGACATAAAATTAGCACGATGCTCATGGGGGAGTCCGTCTGTACCGGTAAGGCTGTAGTAGGAATGCAAGTTTCCCTTTTCTACGGCTGTACTTTTTCATCCGAAGATGAGTAAATACCACTTTCAGAACGACTGCAGGGGAATGGTAGGTCAAGTTTTGCTTTTATAATTGATCTGTGGATAAAGTACTCGCAGAGACAAAATGCACTTCAGATCCTGATTTTCTCAGTGAGGAGTGGATTTCAGTGAAGTCGAGAGCCTTACACTACAGAGATGCTGTGTGGGTTATCTGTGCGCATTCTTCAGTGGTAAGAATTAAATCTCTGAAGCCTACTCTACCTCTATAAATACATGCTATCTGGAGTGAGCTCAATAATTTACTAACTTAATTGCTTAAAAAATCAAATCTATTGAATAATGAAAAATATCCTGTGCACAGGAAAATGAAGGGAGCTGACTTTATATAGAAAATTTTTAACAATTCCAAATTTTGTATTAAAACTTATTAAAAATTAAATTCATTACAATGTCTGGAAGATAATTGCTTCCATCTTTACTTAGCAAATTATGGGAGAAGATTACTCGTCCTGCAGCACTCATGTTAACCCGAGAGCAAAAGCTTACGCAAGTGAGCAAATGCGTTCAAGCAGGTTTAAAGAGGAGAGGTGGAGGAGACTTTGAGAGCACACGCAGAGAGATCCAGATGCCTTCCTACTGCTGTGGTTGGGACAAGGGCAGACTGATAGGTAGCAGAAAGCTCTAGGTGTTTATGTCCGTTTGCAGTGGGAAATGAAACTTTATTTTCAAGCTGAATAAATGGGGTTGTCAGTCGTTGACACTGTATGAAGAGGACTTTTTCTCCTGGACTTGTGTGCGTTTATGTACATGCAAGCTTTCCATAAAAGACCATTTAAAAGAGAAGTTTGTAAAATCACAGAATCACAGAATGGCAAGGGTTGGAAGGGACCTCGGGAGATCACCCAGTCCAACCCCCCTGCTAAAGCAGGTTCTCCTAGAGCATTCTACACAGGACTTCATCCAGGCGGGCTTTGAATATCTCCAGAGAAGGAGACTCCACAACCTCCCCGGGCAGCCTGTTCCAGTGCTCTGTCACCCTTAGAGTAAAGTTTTTCCTCATATTCAACTGAAACCTCTTATGTTTCAGCTTGCACCCATTGCCCCTAGTCCTGTCACTGGACACCACTGCAAACAGACTGCTTCCATCCTCGTGACTTCCGCCCTTAAGATATTTGTATGTGTTGATAAGGTCCCCTTTCAAAATTGTTTTGTGGTGCTTCTGCTGAGCCATTCAGAGGGAAATAAGGGGCTGCTTGACAATTACTCCAGCGTAGGATCTGTGGCAGTGTTGGCTGCTGGTGAGAGCCATCAATAAAGCCAGTAGAAAGGGACTAGAGTTTTCAGGTGAAAAAATGCAGGTATAGAGGACTCTGGAAAGTATGGGCAGCCCTCTTTCATATTTTTAATAGCCTCGTGTACAACGTCGTTATCTGGCTATGAGGAACTTCACGAGGAAGGATTTGTTCCTGGTGGAGTAGCTCTGTCTGTGGAATATATTTGGCAGCTGGAAAAAGAACAGTGCTTCATTGCCGAGATCCTGACAGCAGTCAAATGGAAAGAGCGATCAATATTTATGAACTTTAACATTCACCCAAACTGGGGTAAAAATCTCTTTGTTGGACAGGTGTGAAGGTCTTAGGATTTTCTGAAAGCAACTTAAAAGTTCTTTTTACGGTAGAGAAGATGACGGATGTGCTGCTTGGGATGTTTCGAGGTCTGGGGTTAAGCATCAAATCATACTTTTAGGTGGTAACACTTGGTAAGGTTTCTTATCCATCACAAATCTCTACTAGCTACCTCCTTTGGCATTCTTGCTCTATTTATAATAACCAAGCACTTTATAGCTCAGTAAAGAATGGAAGGTAGCTATGAAGAATAAATCGTATCGTTTGGTATAGGAAATATTTTGGCAAAATTTCTTCTGAGATCAGTTTCATTGTGTGATGTCCTGCCCTGAGAGGGCATCTGATTATAACGATGTATATACATTTTTAACCTAGTTGTAATGCAAAGGAAATGTCTGTAAGAGAGTGAATTATGAGGAGTTCAGCATGGCTTGGTATCAACCGTATAATGATTCAGTGTGCTATTTATAACTTCCTACTTATTGAAATTGAAAATATAAAAGCAAATGGAATAGTCTGTAGTGTATCTTTATTTTTAATCTATGCGTGGGATGTCAAACATTGTACTTGTCTTGTGGACAGGACATGCTTTTATGAGCCTATAAATATTTAAGTACATGAGAATCTGCACCCAAGTGGAACATGTTGCATGTAAATTGCCTTCTAAGTTTTAAAATTTCGGTATTTTTAAAAATTTGCTAGGTTTGAAAGCAACGTTTAAATATTAATACTAAGCTGTAATACAGAACATAACATTTGGAATGCAATGCAGGATATACTGGTTTTGTTTATTGCAACCCTATTCCAGTTTCACAAGAGAAATCCATGGTACGATAGGGGGAAGAGGAGGAAAAGGGCTAATCATGAGCTCGGCTTATATGATTTGCACACTTAATATGCACACATCCAAATAGCCTGGATTTGTTTCTAGCATGCATATACCAAACAGTGTTTTCTTTAACATCGACAGGTACCTATATACGTAGAATAATTTAACGCGTAAGCACAGCTAACCTGATATGAAACCAAATCACAAAAACTGTTGGGAACAAATGGGTTAGGCATAAGTAACGGAGCCTGTAATTCAAAAATGTTTATGTAATCTTCCAACTAAAAAGAAACTTGATAAATATATGTGCAGAAAAAGGACGAAAACCGTAAATTCTGCTGGACTGATTTCTGGCAAATCTTGACAATCTGGTTTGCAGTTAAATACTAATACTGTCACAAATTGTCAGGATCGCATTATTAAATTCACATAGTAATGTGGCCTGGCTGTAGTAGCAATCCTTATCACGGCACGAGAACTTAAAAATGCAATATAACAATTCTGCTGATCGGTGATAAAAGTAATCAGTCCTAGTAAGGCGAATGATTTAAGTATTATGGGTTTAAATTTACTTTCAATTATTAAAAAATTTCTGAATTATTTGGTTGCATCTCAGTGATGTTGTAAAGCATTTCTATATTTTGTTTGAACCGTTTAGGAGCTTGCATAAAATGATGTTGGCTTGATTATTTTTTTTTCCCTTTGATATATGCAATAATGTCAATAAGCAATAAATTGCATGTTGTATGCAAGGTATCGGTACTTCATAATAAAGGAAAGGAACACAGTTTCCTATTTTGTGAATTTTTCTTTCTTCCCTATGGTAATAGGTTTATGTGCCTGTAATGAATGCATCGCGAAGGAACAGTTTTCTTTGGGTTCAGTTCAGAAACAAAGGGCTTGTGTGGTATCTTGAAATTCCGCGCTCTATCTTTTCTTACTTAAAAAGAGGGGGGGAAGGGAGGATGAGCTCTGAGCCACGCTGTTGTTCAGGTGCCTGGACTTTTCAAGGGTGAAATTCGATGCAGGACATCGCTGGGGCCAGGGATGTAACTTAAACTATAGATTTTGGTGTGCATTGAGGAAAAACTTCTATCGGATGGTATAATTATACTGCCCTGTATTGTAACACCACATTTCGGGACATATGGTGGCAGCTGAGCTACCGTTGGCAGCGTATTGTAAAGGTGATGCCCTACTGAATGCTCCGATGGGCAATTAAGTCCCTCAGTCCGGCAGTTCCTAGGTTCTATACGGGCAGTATGCCTAGGAGCCATGAATTGTGTGGTAAAGCTCATTGGATTCTCGGCGCATCCTCGGAGGAAGTTGCTGCCAGTTTATATCTTAACCATTGGCTTCCGAACGCAGGAATTGCTTGTGTTTCTCTGAGTTTTCTTTTGTATGGTGCAATGGTTAAATTACTAGAAGAAACCACAAAGTGTTCCCGTGGTTTTTGCTTTTTTCCCTCTCCTCTTCTAAGGGGAATTTGGTTCCATTTGTAAATGATATTCTTAGGGTACCAGTTTTACACTCCTCATTAACTAGTCCGTCTGTTTGGAGGTGACGGGGAATGTCTGGAAATGTCCTTTAGGGAGGTGACGGGGAATGTCTGGAAACGTCCTTTAGGGAGGTGACAGGGAATGTCTGGAAACGTCCTTTGGGGTCAGACGCTATAGGGGCCGGATTGCCAACTGCTTGAGGAAGGACAGCGGGGCATGGTGGGAGGCTTTCGTGCTGGCGCTGGGCAGCTTTTCACACCCAGCCGTGGAAAGGAAGGATGAAGTGCGGCTGGGAAGGAGGGATGCCTTTCAGTCAGCCAAATTCAACAGATCTTGCCTCAGGTGTGAGAAACGTGCCTCTCCCTAAGACATAGGACACAGGAAGTATTTTGTAGGTCCACTTCTTTCTCATGTTATGGTGCAAAGTTGCTCTTCATTTCCTCCTAGATTTTTTTTTGATTACTCTTCACGTTCTGACTGAAAACTTTGTTTTCTGTACTTGTGTTGGTGTGGTAATTCTGCATTAGTTTGTTTAATTTCTTTTTTATTTAATCCTCCACGTGGATATATGCCATTTTTTAGATGGTGGAATGCTGTTTGTGTGTCGTCTTATTTTGCTCTGCTTTTCTGGTGTAATACACCTAAGGGTAGAGTCTGTGCCTAGTTGAGATTGTGACCTTGCTGTTCTTTGTAACTCTTTACATTGAGGAAAAACTGTTTGCTACTTGGCTTATCTTACAAAGGGTGAAAACTATTACCCTACACCACAAGTAGTACAATTGTGGCTTCTGGTGGAGCGTGGTGGTGGAAAGCGGGGAGTCAGCAGACTGACATCCACATCCTAACCTGCTTTGAGAGGCAGGTGTAGAACCAATTCCCTGTTTGAGAACATCAGAGAGAGAGAATGTGCTTTACCTTAGAGTTGTTCTGCCACTGACTTGGAATATTTGGAAGCAGAGATGCCAGCTGGTTTATGGAAGGCTCTTGTTGTTAAACTGCGTTGTCAGGCGTCGCAAGAGAAGACTGCAGTGACTGGATCTTGTTTAGTGCCGTGAATGCAGTCTTAAGAGATTTTGGCAAAGCCAAATATGCCTAAAACTTGGGCAGCGACGGAGGCAATCATTGTGTTCTCTCTTTTGCGCTTGACAGCCTACTGAGGGTCTACGCTACGGGACGAACGCTGCAGTAGTCCTGCAGGGTTTGTCCTCACAGCTGTTGCTGCGTAGCTCGACCTTACCATCTCGGTCAAAAAGGGATGTGGTGAAAGCTGCCTGCCTTGCTCTGATGCCAAACGAGCTCCGTTTTCTGAATCGCCCACTGGCAGCGTTATGCGCCGCATTTCATGCATACAGTTAAGCTGCATCCTATGGCATGGAAATAAGGCAACGTTCTGAGTTAGTCGGCAGGAGCTGATACTTCTCTTATCCAGTTGATGTTTAAAAACTATCTTGAGGAACCTGAGCATCTCAGTAAGTGTAGGACTAGAAAGGACACGCCTTCATAATACCGATTCATGCTCTGGTACATCCAGCATTTTTTCTATAGCTTTTTAAAAAAAAAAATCGCCGTTGCAAGGGGTAACGATTTTGCAAACAAAACCACACCATGACTGGAGACCACGCTAACGCAGCTCTACGGGGATTAAACACGAGCCTCAGTACGCGAAGTTCAGAGCTGCTGGCCCATTTGCAAACACCTTTTGTGCTCGTAAAGGCGCCATCAATAAAACTCGGGCGCCCCCTGCCCATTCCCAGGTTTAGGAGTCGTCAGCTGCCTGCAGAAAAGGATGCACACCCACACACACACCCACCCCTTAGAATCATAGAATGTTTTGGGTGGGAAGGGACCCCTAGAGGTCACACACCCAGACAC